TGATGGCCGGATGGATTTGGGCGGTGGAATGTTTTTGAAAGGCATATCAGGTGGTGTCGAAGTCGGGTTTCTCACCCTTTTAGAATCCCTCAATTTCTGCAAAGTTGGTCACCATCTAAAAACCCCAAAATGGCCAATATGGGTTATTGGCAGCGAGTCCCACTACACAGTTTTATTTGCTCTTGACACCTCTGTCCAAGATGAGAACGAGCTGGAGCTGAGAGAATCACAAATTCGAAAAGCTTTTGATTCCCAAGACCAGAGCGGTGGTGGAGGATTCATCAGTGTGGAAGGTTTCCAGCAAGTCCTTCGAGATGCCAGCATCCAACTACCGACAGAGAAAGTTGACCATCTCTGCAGCACTGGTTTCATCGTGTGGAGTGAATTCTGGCAGGCTGTTCTCGATCTGGACAAGAGTTTAGGTGGACTAAAGGATTCGAGTGGGTTGATGGGGAAGAAAGTGTTCGATCTTTACCATTTCAACGGCATTGCAAAATCTGACTTGAATGGTAGCAACAATACAGCAGCTGGAGGTGAGGCACCGGTACAGAGACCTAGGCTGACGAAGCTCAAGGTTTCAGTGCCACCAAGGTGGACTCCGGAGGAGTTCATGACAGATGTTGCTGTGTCCTCTGCTTCTGCTTCTGCTTCATCTGGTAGTAGTGAATCTAAAGACATGGAAGTAAACAAGCCCGAGCCCTGCCAGCACGCCCCACTTGTGGACTGCGTCAGAACAAGGTGGGCTCGTGCCAGTTGTAATTGGGCCGGGGATCCCCCCAGTATAGTCTGAACAGCTTGTGCTTTGTTCTGTTGTTGTGAAGCAAACATGGCAAAATCACCTGAGGTACAGAAATGGCGAAATCACCAGAAGCGTGGCCAAATGTGCAGAGATGAGAAAGAAGGTAGCCTTATGCAGGTTGAAGGGGTTCCCAGCGTTATTTCTTGCAATGTATAATTGTAGCTCCCCTGTATTGCTTTTTCTTTTTTTGGCACCTTGTTGGTCAATTCCTGATTGTAGTAATTCGATTTTTCAGATGCTATAAAGGGAGAAGAACGAATTATCTTGTTTGGGCTCTTGGTTGTTGCACTCTGTAAAATGGGGGGTTTCGGAAAATTTAAACTGTTGATAAGTTGTTAGTCCTAGCCCCTTTCCGCCACCGCTGTTGTAACTTGGGAATATTACAGCACAATGTCCAGGACATCCAATTTGTTAACCTGAAGATGTCAAATTCGTGGATCTTGTATTCCCGTGTTTACTACCGAGGGTTGAGAGAAATTTGTAGCACAATCTTGATCTTGGTCTAAACTGAATATCAAAAGTTGAAAATTGATTTGAACAGGATTGGTTTACTGGTATGCTCACTGATCTTCATATGAATGTATTAAGTTTGAATGTGTTGAGTAGTATAAAATGAAATAAAACAAAATTGAAAATTGATATGTAGTAAAGCATCTTAGACAAAGTCTTACATCGACAAAGCACAAAAAAGATCCATAATTCCTGAGGAACAAATCAACAATAACTGACAATACGCATTTTAGGGTGAAATGAAAGAGTTCTTATTAGAACTCCGAAATTGGACGTGCTCATGGTGGAGCAATGCAAGGATGGGTGACCTCTCTGGAAGTCATCATGATGCACCCAAAAGCAAAACTTTGTGAGAATAGGCCCAAAGCAGATAATATCTTGGTTAGAAAAGGTCGGGATATTACAAGTGGTATTAGAGCCTTTCTGCATTCCTATTGTGCGATGGTGGGACAAATCTCAAGACGGACATTGAGTCTCAAAAGAGAGTGAATGGTTGATTCCATATAAAAAAAGTACGGGAGAGATTCATAATTCATAAGCTACAACCACCTTAACTCACAATACACGTCTTGGGGTGAAATTGAAGTGTTTTTGTAATAACTCCAAAACTGAATGTCCTCTGTGTGAAGTAGTGCAAAAGAGGGATGACCTCATGATAAGTCACCATGATGCACCATAAAGAAAAACCAATGCTCAACCCTTACTCAACACTAATTCTTGCCATTTCAATTTGATACACATTGTTTGTGTGTAACACCCCATCCTGTACGGCTGTACATACTGCCTAATCTAATTGTTCAAGCATTCGCAGCGGAATTCAACTCGGGTGTTACATTAATTCCCAAAATTAATCCAAATAAAATTTCAGCATAAATGACTCGCATAATGGGCTAACAGTTCTTGCAACTAACCCTACAAAATAATTTATTTCATACTCCATATCGATTGGCATACTTACATACCATAAAACATATACATCGGCTTTTCATAGTCGTAGCCACAAATTTATACTGAGTAACCACATACCATACTAGTACATGTCATAATCATCATTACATACACAACCACACACATATATGCCTGCTAAAAACCTGTCACAACTGTGGGTACACTACATGAAAAGCTAATAGTATGAACATGAAAAGGTTTTCAAAACAATTTCTACCAAAAGATGTGAATCACTGGCCAAAATCCCGAGTAGTCGTCTAAGCACAGAATAGTTGAAGACAATACCTCATCTTGCCTTCAACTCCAAGCTCTGCCCGCTCCTATGTAGTTAGTGACTACTACTGCTGATGATCTGATTATATATGGAATAAGAAGTGTAGAAAAAATAAAAGAGGGCCAGCTCATAGTTGAGTGATATAATCATCACATAGTGAGTTCATAACAAAGCATACCCCTACCATACATCTAGCAATCAAGGCAAAACATAGGATCAGACCTCAACCATCCGACATCCCAATAGGCAAAAGACTCAACCACCTTGACTTTTGCATATGTTTCTTATCATATTTTAGGTGTCTGGCTACTCCCATGCTAATAACTCTCCTGGGAAAATCGACCAAACATCTCATCAGATATGGTCATAGCAAACCCACCACTGTCATTATGGTCAAATCAGGCCTGACACCACTCTAGGTGTGCTCATACACGACTCCAATCTTGGTGCATACATATCTCATGAAGGATCATCGGTCAACACCACATCAGGGTGTGACATAACATGTAATACCCGAGTAAAAGAATGAGGAGCCCTAATTATTATGGGGTCGTTTGGATGTGGAAATTTGAAAACGTTGGAATTTGTCTGAATTTCCATATTTTACAAAACCAAGGAATTGACTTGTGGAAATTGAAAAAAATTTCACGTTTGGATAGGGTTTAGTTTTGTGGGAATTGATGGTGTGGAATTTGGAAAAGGAAGTAAGAAAACGTGGTAATGTCAAATTACTAGGGGGAGGTGTAGTATTCTCAATTACCATGAATGTGGTAATTGAAGCCAATTTCCATGGTCCAATTCCCATACCCTTTTTGCTCTCCCAAACGTGGGTTTTAAACCCAATTATTGCGTTATGTGGTATTTGGGTCCAATTACTGCATTGCATTTCCACGTCCAAACGACCCCTATGTAATTGACCATGAGATCAAATCACTCTTTGACATTCTTATACATGATTCATAACTTATCTTTCTTAATCTCAATTCATTACTTGAACATGTATTTAACCTTATCATAATTGGTCCAATATAGGTAAATCAAGAGTCATATAATTTGGCTTTCTCAGAATAAACCCTCGTGCAAGTCGTCCTACTTAAACATCATAATATCACCCTCGGAAATATATTTTCCCACTTGTAAATCCAAATACAATAATAATTCACAATCATACTCAAGCACCTTCCAAAATGATCATAAGGCATATAAATAGTTAAGCCCACAAATGGCGACATATAAGCAATCATCAACATAAACACGATCCATAACTATGAAAGCAATGCAATAATATCATATAGCGGTCCACGATTTATCATATAGCACAATAGTCCATACACCCCTAATCATCCCATTCTAGTTCACCTATAAGTTAAGCTAAGTGGACTATAAGTTAATGGTTAACCACTAAGCATTGATGGGTCGGCTAACGAAAGTGGTTTCCTATTTAGTGGGTAACCACTAACTGCATTGTCGGGTAAAACCTACCCGACCCGGCTATAAACTCTAACTAGGATCACTTGGGATGAAGTCCGGAGAAATTTGATTACTCATATTCTATTGTGTGTCCTCCTCCATCTGAGTGTCTTTTTTCCTGTTATTTTCGCGAGTTATCTCGGATTTTTTTTCAATTTTATGCTTGATATTGTTGTTTAGCGCATTTCATGTCTTCATGAGTAAAATAAATGCTATTAGATTATTAAGGGTTAATTTCATTAGATGCCATTTAAGTTTCAGATCGGGTGCACATTAACCACTTAAATTCATTTGGTTGCAACTAAAGCACTTAAACCCAAATTTCGTTGCACAAATGTCTTTTCCATCCAAAAATTTAACGACGAGTATGAAAACGTAATTTTCCATCCACGCAAACATGCCAACTCAGTCTACATTTGTTTGGTTATTAACTAAAACTCAAATGATATGTAGTGCAATTAATCCTACATTTTATATGGTCTTCCTCTCATTTCCCCTCTCTCTTTTCGTCTCTATCTACGAGGAACCCCTTAGCTTGGACTTCTCTCTAAAAAGACCTCTTGTTAGACTAATGATGGAAGGAGTCACTCCTTTTCCTCCACTGCCTAAGCTCCTGATCCAGCCCTGCCACCAAGAATGTCCGTAAGGCCAATCACAATCGATCTCGACTGCCCACTCGGCCAGCTTGTCTCCCAATTCACTGATTCTGACCTCCGCTCCACTGCCAATGAGATCTTCATCTCCCCTCACCCGCGCTTCCTCCCGCAATCCCCTCTCCATCTCCGGCCTCCCCACCGACTCACCTACCTACCACCACCACAACCATTATAGGTCATCATATGAGCCCAAACAAAAGAAATTGTAAACACAAAACTGACGAAATCATCACTAAAATGACCTACCCATTTAAAATATGTGGCACAAAAATAAAATTGCATTGTCTACGTACGTTCAACTTCTATTGTGTATAAAGACAACCGATTTGTTGAATCTCTGTCGCCCACTAACTCATTCATCACATCATCTGCACAAACCAAGCCTCTTGCCACACCAATTAGAAATTCATCTCCTGGCGCACAGTTGCTGATAACCCTACTCCTAACCAGAATAAAAATTTGTAGATTGCTACTCCATTGAGTGAGCATTCTCCTTGAGCACCACAACAATTTGATCCCTGCACAACCTCACAGGCACAAACCTGCGATCTGAAGGAGAACTTGCCAATTCAGCGGCTCTAGTGATCGTCCCAAATGAGGACCCTGTTGGGCGAGTTTTGGGAGTTGCAGTCCCTACCGACGAGGGCCAAAATGTTGCAGCAAAACAGCAATTCAGCAATCCGACCCGCCGCTCCGGATGTCCCTACAGAAGTCTCCCTGAAAGGCTCGCATTGTAAATTTGGAAGCTAGAGCTGGTTGTGGCGGCAGAGCAACCATAGTCATGGTTCCATGATGGATAGAAACTGTGAGTATGAGAGAGAAATCTCCTGGTTCAATCAATCAAGAGGAAGACGCCATAGCAAGGGAAGGTAGAAGTCATCGATCAAAACTATGCTTTGTACCATGTGACACATAAATTTAGACTGAGTTGGCATGTTTACGTGGATGAAAAATTACGTTTTCATATTCGTCGTTAAGTTTTTGGATGAAAAGGACAAATGTGCAACGAAATTTGGGTTTAAGTGCTTTAGTTGCAACCAAATGAATTTAAGTGGTTAATGTGAAACCAATCTGAAACTTAAATGATATCTAATGCAATTAACCCAGATTATTAATTAATCACGAATGGCAATTCTAGAGTCTTGGATGTCACTAGGATCGCTTGGGATGAAGTCCATAGTAATTGGAGCCTTGAAGGTGTCAAGCTTAAACGAAAGCCATAGTTGGTGAGTTGCCCACGAAATGGGAGACTACCATTCTCAGAGCCAAATCTTAGCAATTCACAAGAAAATATATTTATAATTAAGCAACCTAGAACTGGAGGTATGACCGTGCCTTAGGCTATGGAAACAACCCTTCTTCGAAACAAAATCCTAACAAGATCATGCTTGTGTTCGTGGTTGGGCTCCCTTTTGTTATATAAGGATTTTTTCTCCAACCCATAGGGGATGCTTTACTCCTTATTCATAGCATTTGAATAGCTATTTTTTAGAGGAGATTTCCAGCAATTTCTCACCGAAAGAGACGAGTGAGAGGATTTACATGCCTTTGGACTCCGTATCATCTCCTCATCTTTCATGAGCCCATTTCATTTGATATTTTGATGAGGTGAACCTTAGATATGTTATTTATTATTGATTGATGAGGTATATATTCTATTAGAAGACAAACAAGGTAAATTTAGGGTCACTAATCTGCTTGTGTCGCAGACTAGGTAGCTCTCTTTAAGACGTTCGTGATACTGCCTTATATTGTGCACAACAGACTATTAGTCAGTCGCCTTTAGAATATAACAACCACTCCTACTTTTCTCTAGTCCATGTGAAAATCATAAGTCTCTGATAAACACTCTCTTATGTGTTCTGCTCTGTAAATTGTGTATGCAGAGATTCAGAGAAGTCTGCTATTCATAGGAGCAGAACCCCCCCCCCCCCCCCCCCCCCCCCCCCCCCCCAAGAAACTCCCTCCTTCGTGGGGAATAAGCCACCCATTTTTAGAAGGATAATTACTCCTTTTTCATAGAATGACATCTGAATAATAATATTTTCTTGTTCGTATAATGACACATAAATAATATTATTTTGTACTCCTTTTTTATGGCATGCTTTAGTTTTCATACTTTTATTGTCATAATGCCATGAATTTAACTTAATAATTGCACGAATGTGTGTCTAGTAGTTTCTATGAGTATTTTTATTCTTTTGATGCCCTTTGGGTAGTTTTTCATGTGCTTTTAAGGCAAATATTATGGTGGACACCATGTACGAACTGGAGAGATTAAGGTCTAACAGTTGGAATCAGAAAAGTGCTTAAGACCATGTCCATAACATGATGCCTCATTTAGTCGGTGATAACGATGTAATTGCACATATTTGCGCCCCTAGTTCTTATCCGTTTGAGAGGCATAGTCGTGTGTTTTTTGCCTATTTTACGCCGGGTTGTGTTATTTTGTCATATTTCAGGTCCCAGGCGTCAAAGGAAAGGCTAAGCACGAGTTTTGGGGCATTCGGAAGTCATTTCGTCGAGCTGGAGCCAAAACACGGGCACACCTAAAATAGAACACAGCCGTGTTCTGTGGCCGTGCTTTTACTGCCGAGAGCAAATCTGAGTTTGGCAAACATTGGCTAAAAACACGGGCTGAAAGCACGGCCGTGTCCACTAAAGCACGGCCGTGCCCATCATCAAACACGCCCGTGTTTCTCCCAACAGGTGGCCGTGTAATTAACACTAGCCAAAGCATGGGCGGGCTGAGGCAAAGCACGGACGTGCCCTCGACCGTGCTTTGGCCACTGATGCCCTTTTAAGCAGATTTCAGCCAAAACAGAAGGGGATTCGAGTTTTGAGAGAGAGAGAGAGAGATTCCTAGAGAGAGAAAGCGACGAACAAGAGTCTCCAAGTGCCCTAGCTTGATCTTCATCACCATTGGAGGCCAGCTTGAGCTTGGAGAAGTGCAGATCAACGTCCAGGAGCAGGAATCCATCCTTCACAGTATGAATTCCGCGTCTGATTCTGCTTTTGCTTCTTTCTCCATGGAGTAGTTCTCCCATTCATCTGGGTATGGAGAACCCTAGATTTGTATGTTAGGCTTTGATTGTATGAACCCAAGTACTGATTCTATGATTTGATTATGTTCAATTGAGGTTTGAATGATTGAATGGCATGAATCCTGATCAAATTCCTGTTGTTTCTGCTTTAACCTAGAATGAGAATATCTGCCTAGGTTGATAGAGCATCCTTGATTGAAGGTAGGGAGTTGGTGACTTTAGTCGAGGAGCCAACTCACTATTCTATACCGGATTCACTTCTGTAGTGGAGGTTTTGTTCATAGGGCCTCAATCTGTTTACTCCGGTGGAGGTTAGTCGCCCGCTAGAGACTCAGATTGAGAGGGTCTGAAGACCTTTAGTCGAGACTTCAGGCTGTTTAAGAACCTTCCGCAACATAACTATCATAGAAACTGAACTTGGTAATTGCAATCCGGCTTAACTGCAGTCTAGGGGGAACCATATCCGGGTGACCTCTCTTAACCTGAATACAACAGTTTACTTGCTTTGTTATTTTGTTAGTCGAGATTTGCATTAAAGTTTCATTGCTAGATAACAAGAATTCACTGAGTAGTCATCAAATCTAGGACCCGGGTTGATAATTAAACCCAAACCAGCTATACTACGCTTTAGGAAGTGGTTCCACTTGGCCAATTCCTAGGGTGACAGTAGAAGTGAGTCAAGTTTTTGGCGCCGTTGCCGGGGACGGCTAGGTTGTTGAAGAAAAGTGATTTCTGTTAATTTAGCTTTTCTTTTGGCTTTGTTTGCTTTGTCCCACTTGTGCCTTCACGGGTTTGCTTGCTTGAGTGTGTGCAGGTAGTGCATGACCCGTAGCCAGTCGGGAGGGTTACTGCCATTGAATCCAGAGATTGACCACACCTGTCGGCAACTCAGGAGACAACAGCGAGCTAGACTGGCTACGGAAGAGCGCCTAAACGGCCACTTGAGTAGCGATTCTGAAGAAGAGTACGGGATGGACGGAGACTACAATCAGCACCAGGGGAATCCTCAACAGACTCCCCCGGTGAATCAGGTCCTGGGGAACAACCCCATACCCCAGGATCATGGGGTTCATCATCCACTGCCGCCGGGTCCCACCTTGGAGTACTACTACACTCCTCGGATTGCTGACATCCGCCCGGTCATCCTCTACCCGCCTATTCCAGCAAACAACTTTGAGATCAAGCCATTCTGGATTCATATCATTACATCTTCTATCGAGTTCCATGGCTTGAAGGATGAGGAGGCCAGGGTGCATCTTTCCCGTTTTTTGCAGCTGACGAACGGGTTCAAGCTTAATGGTGTCCCGGATGATGCAATCCGCCTTCATCTCTTCCCCCATTCTCTGGCGGGGAATGCTAAGAGGTGGTTGGAGACCCAGCCCCCATTGTCCATCATCTCTTGGGATGATCTGGCTGACAAATTCGTGCACAGGTACTATCCGACATCGAAGACTACAAAGATCCAGCGGGAGATCACTCACTTCCGCCAAGAGCCAAATGAGTCACTTCGTGATGCTTGGGAGCGGTACATGGGATATTTCTGGCAGTGTCCCCATCATGGCTTCAGTGATGCATTCACAGTGGGGAACTTCTACAGTGCTCTCTCCCTAGATAGCCAGAGGGTGATTGAGTCTCTATGCCCAGGAGGGGATATTCTTACTAAGACTCCACCCGACCTGAACCAGATGATCAGTACTTTGGCTGCCAGAGATCATTCTTGGGGACAGGGTAGCCGAGGCAGACAGTCCCGGGACCGTGGTGTGCACGCCATGGAGACCAGATCCGGGCTCGAGCAGCAGGTAGCTGAGCTAGTGCAGACATTGAAGCAGCTCAACAGTCTTATTCCGGGCAGAGGTTTGGCTACACCTCCAGTAGCTCAATGTCAGTGGTGCGAGAGCTCCAATCACCTAGTGGAGGACTGCCAGGCTATGAGGGAGTCTACCACTCCCCAAGAGCAGTTGGACTTCATCACCAATGCTCGGCGCCTCGACCCGTACAGCAACACATATAATGAGGGGTGGCGCCAGCATCCCAACTTCACCTGGAACAGCAACACCACTAAACCACCTGGTTTCCCAGCACCAGCAGGTGGTTTTCAGCAGAGGCAGCCCTTCCAGGCTCGACAGGGGCTAGCCCCACAGAAGCAGCCCTACCAGCCTAGGCAGGGGCAACCATTCCAACAGCCCCAGCGTCAGTTTGTCGAGCCAGCAGCAGCCCCTGCCCCAGATGACCGGATGACAAAGCTGGAAAATATTCTAGCTTCATTCATGACTAGCACTCAGGCTGCTATCACGTCACTGGAGGCAGGTCAGTGGAACCAGGGTGCCATTTTGCAAGATCTGCAGACCCAGGTGGGCATCTTGGCCCGCCAAAACACTACCGGGGCACCGGGGACTCTGCCTGCCACCACTATCCCGAATCCTCGGGATCCTCACCAGCTCCAGCAGCTGGATGCCATTTTTACCAGGAGCGGTAAGACCATATCTGCTGATCCTGTCTCGGCCAGACAGGAGGAACCACTACCTGCTTCAGCACTTCCAGCCGACGATGCAGAAGTGCGGGTGGAGAAGGAAGCCCCTGCTCCCAAGCCACAACCAGTGGTTAAGGAGCATGTACCCCAGCTTCCCTTCCCCACTCGCCTACACAAAGACAAGTTGGAGACTGAGTTTGCCAAGTTTATGGCAATGTTGAAGCAGCTCAACATCAGCATACCGTTCGTGGAGGCACTGTCGAAGATGCCCAAGTATGCCAAGTTCATGAAAGATCTCCTCACCAACAAGAAGAAACTTGGGGATCTCTCGACAGTAGGGAAGCTGCATTGTTTACAAGTAAAAGGAAAAAGGCTTTTCTGTTGGTTGATGGTCATTGTGAAAATGCAGGTACTTTTGAGCAACGAGAGGATATGGGAACAGATCAACGCCCTGCGCATAATTGTGGGATATACAGCTTCTAGGCAACCAACGTTAATGGAAGAGCTCAGCGCCCTATATGTTTTCACTGGAGTTGTGCCGCCTGTTGCATCATTCAACGACCCTTATGATCTGGTGGAGGTGAACGCGAAGCTCAGGAATCTCAAGTTTATTGTTGGAGTGAAATGAGAAGAGGCAGCATGCAGAATAGCATTGTCAACTGTGTTTATACTTTTGGGTTGTGCTGTTAAACGTTACCAAACAATAATAAAATGCATGTATAACGCAAGTCGCCTTGCTTAGGAATGCAAGGTATTAGATGGCGATGCATTTTGCGCAAACCTTTGGAGAAGCCATATTTACCTCGAGCGAAAATGGAACCTCTACTTGCTGGCTGCTGCATGCATATATATTCGTGGATTGAGGGAGTAGCAACATGGAGCCGTAGCTAGGAAGGTCGGTCATGGGTACCAAAAACTTAAGTTCGGATGATCAGTAGAAGGAGATGCTGCATAACAGTTTCCGTCAGTGCTTTGCTTCGAATGCGGCAATGACTTCATCGATTGGGAACGCAATGCATTTTCAAAATGGTATTTGTAAAATTATAAAAATATATGTAGACCACTTGAGTCCATATAAATTATTGTCAATGGTTAGCACGTGTTAACAACTTCCCCTTAGAGGACTACTCCCTAGAGGAGGGATGAAGATACATAAAAGAAATTGAAGAAGAATTGATTGAGGTTGAGGAAGATGCCTCCTCTCTTCTAGCTCCTTCTCCTTCATTCAGCTTCTCTCTCTTCTCTCTCTCTCTCTAAAACCAGAAATTATTCTCTCAAAATCAGCTCTCTTAAAAGAGGGAAAGAGGTCTCCTATTTATAGGCAATCAGAGGACGAACAAGTTCGCTACCCAAAGGCACAGATCGCGGGCGGGATCTTTAGAGGAGATGCATCGATCTTGAAACTTAGTCATAATGGCCTTTGGGATTGAGGAGACCGTGGGCTGACTTCGCGATCACGATCCGCAAGTCGCGACCGCAATCTTCCTCGAGTACAAAATGCATTGTAGATGTGATTCGACCGGGGAAAATCTCTATTTATCCTCGGCTCCTTCTTCGCGAAGTTCGCGCCCTGAGCCCTCTAATTGCGGTCGCGATCTTGGGCTTCCAGACCGCGATTTTCAGCTTCTCTTCGCGATCCAGGATCTCGGCCGTGATCTTTACTTCTAGGCCACGATCTTCAGTTTTCTGCCCCCTTGCTACACTTGTGACCTTGTTTTGTACCTAATTCGAATATATCGCCTAACACACTCTACAATCACATCGAATTCAAATAGGAACAGAATAGAGATGCAATTGACGGTGTTTAAGCATTTATGCACATGAATTGGCACAAAACAAACCTCAATATGAAGGGTAGATAACACAAATTTAGGTGTTATTAATAATCAAAGCGTAAGTTTTTAAGTTTTAAAGCGCAATTTTGACTGCATTGGTGGGACGAGTGATTTGAGAAAAAATTTGTGGCGCTGTGGAAAAAGATCAAACTTTAGCATCACTAAGTGGTGGGAGAAAGAGTAGGGTTTCAGTTTTTTGCCCGTGATTTCTACAATTGTGATTCTGGTAGCTACCTGTGTGTCGTTGCATGCCTTACGCTGAAGGACGGGGACACGACTTTTGGTAGCTCTGAATCAGCACAGAGGAGTCAAGTTGCTTGGAGTAGGAACTACGAAGTGCAGTGGCAAATGCATTGGGTCTATATATTGGTGGATTTGATTGATGGATCTATAGATCATAAGGATTTGATCAAATGGATTGGTGGATTAATGGATTGGTCCATGGATTCAAATGACATTTATGTCTTGGACAATCATGTAGATTGTGAAAAGTTTAGGTACCAAAATAACATAATAAAAAAATTTAGGTACCAAAACGTAATTTTCTAATGACATTTTTGTCTAAAAATATTTAGGTACCAAAATGTAAAATATAAAAAGTATAGGTACTACATTAAAAATTTTGTGTGGATCCATAGATCAATCTATGAATCCACCAATCCAATTGGATTTGGATTAGGGGTGGGATTCGTAATCCGATTAAAGGTTTAACCTTTAACCGACGCAACGGTTGTCGGAGGGTGAGGGGAAGGAAATCGGTATACAAGAATTGTCCCCATTATTTATCGACGGTATACCGGTTATTCGCCACCAAAACCCATCGTCCACTGATAGGCATCGATTTTCTCTATAACTAAACGCAACGAAGAATCCTCTCTCTCACATTTTCCTCCCCGCCTTGATTCTTTGCCGATTCTAGGGTTTCCATTTCCCTCTCGCTATTCCCACCACCACCACCACTGACACATCCTCTTCCTACTCGTTTCCATTCGGCTTAGGTACCGTTTGCCAGTTTTGTTCTTTCGTTGTTTCTATTCTTCTACGGCATTGGTCGATGGAGGTGGAATATTCCTGCGCATCTTTTATGTTTTGTTACATTTTTCAACAAATTTGAGTATCGTCGCTCTTGACTTTCTCCCTTTGCATGATTTATTGGTTCCGGCGTTTCTTTGTTATTAAAAGTATTCATGCATTCTAGCTATCATCGTTCTGTCCCCCGCGGACTCCGAATTCCTGCCTCTTGGTTTATGTGCATTATTCTTTGTTTCTTGAAAGGTTCGGTTTGCTTTCGGCTAGAATATTATTGCTCTGTGTTCAGGGAAGACCTCACGCTCGACCTCCCGACTGTACTTGCAGTATCGTAATGCATGCTCCAGATTCTCTTGCACGTCTAGACACGAGGGGCACTGATTAACTGTTGTAAGTTGTTTCATGCACTGCTTTGCTTTTGTTATCACTTAGCAGTCGTCCATGGCCCACCAGTCACAAAGAAGTGCTTGATAAGGCATGAAATCTGTGTCAGTAGGCCGCATGTACTTCTCCATCATCACCTTACCCGAAACTCATTTATGTTCTTGAGGACACTTCATGCGAGATTCATCGGGCATGTTGTATTAATATCCCTCACATTCCTCAAGCCTAGATAGCCCATCTACTTTGGTTTGTAAACCAAACTCAATCGGAAAGAACAACACCGAATTAACGTGGTATTCTCAACGAGTATCATTGAGACTAATCCACGGAGAGGACCAACTTCTCAGAGTCAATCGTTTAGAATAGAGTCTCCGTACAAGAGAGGCGGCTGCAAACCTATATACCTAGCCGCCCTAATCTGACTAAGGCTCTAAATAAAATTAATTAAAAGACTTAATAATTACATTTAGCTACATAAACTTGTAACATCCTCACTCAAATTGATGGTGCTTACGCAACATCAATTTGTATGCTAGAAACCAGTGACGAGATGTAGCAACAGCCTTAGTCAGCAGACAACAGTCTGATCTTCAGAAGTGATATATGATAACGCCAGACGCCCTTCCTCAACCAGCTGACGAATATAGTGAACATGAACTTCAATGTGCTTCGTACGGTCATGGAGAACAGGATTGGTAGCAATCTTGATAGCACTAGTGTTATCAGCATAAAGGCGCATAGCAGCTGGACAAACTATCCCAAGCGTAGAAAGTAACCGATGAAGCCACACAAGTTCAGAAGTGACTTCAGACATCGATCGATACTCGGCCTCTGTCGACGATTTAGAAACCCGCTCCTGCTTCTTACACCTCCACGAGATGAAAGAGGAACCAATTTTGACACACCATCCTGAAGTGGACCGACGAGTATCCAAGCAGCCAGCAAAATCAGCGTCAGCATAAGCTTCAAGGACTGACTCACCCTCTGAAGGAAAGAAAAAACCCACATCCCGCGTTCCCTTAAGATAACGCAGGCAATGTAGTCAAAATCCCGATTTTAATCTTAAAATCTTACGATTTTACGATCTTACCTATGGGTTCCGATCCTGATTTTACTGTAAAATCTTTGAACCTTAAAATCCCATAAAATCCCGATTTAAAACTCTAAAATCCATAAAATGTACGATTTCTACGATTTTGTACGATTTCAAGGTTCATATCAATTGGATCAAAATTAGGCCGGTCAAGTTGGGTTATGCTCATGAACCGAGTCAAATTTACTTTCCCCAACCCAACATAATGAACAACACAACCCTAACCTGATAGTTAACCCTCAATTTATTTTCATTCTCTTCCTCGTATCTTCCTCTTTCGCACGTCGGCGCCCAACTCCTTCCATCAACGATATCTTCCACCCTCCCAATTAGCTTGTAGTTTGTTCCCACCACCCTCACAATAATCCAAATCTCCATTACATTGCAAGCTTTTGTTCATCTCCCAATCCTTCAGCACCACTAACCCGACCTTTTATCAATTAAGAAGGGAATGCATCAATCAATGAGTTATCTTTTCCAGATGATGGTAATCAAGGAAATATGGTTAATGGTGAAAGTACTTCAAGTGATCATAAGAATAATGATATTAGTCCTTAAACAAATAAAAACGATGAGAGTGAGGGTGAGGTTGAGGATGATGACGATGATGTGTAAGTGATGTTAATGTTGATCCTAACGATCTTATGTGATTTTCTACTCTTAACAATTAATTAACAGTGATATCTATAATGTTTCAGGTTTCTTATTTGTGTGTTTCTATTATGTACAAGAAAAATATATGGATTAGTTGTGTTTGTTTAGCAAACAAACTTATCTTGGGAAGTAATTATGCTTTATGTGGTTGATTGTTATTCAAGATATGCATTTTTATTACTATCTAGTGTTTTAAGTATTTATTTTAATATGAACCTTAAAATCTTACGATTTTACGATTTTAATCTACGGTTTCGATTCTACCTCAATTTTCGATTTTACTTAAAATCTAGATATTGACTGCATTGAACGCAGGATACGCATCACTTGAACCAGATGAGAGGAACATGGAGCAGACATAAATTGTCTCACAACCTGTACGGCATATGCGATATCCGGACGAGTATGATGAGTCAAATAAATCAAACTTCCAACTATGCTGCGATACAGAGAACCATCTGGCAATAAATCACCATCATCACGGCAGAGCTTCAAATTTTGTTCCATAGGTGTAGAGCATGGTTGCAGTATCCATCTGAGCCGTTTCCAGAAGATCCACTATGTATTTTTGCTGCGAGACAAACAAACCAGCCGGTGATCGATGGATCTCCAACCCCAGAAAATATGACAGATCACCAAGTTCCTTAAGATTAAAAGCCTCACGAAGATCCTGGGTAAGAGCCTGAATGCCAAAAGTATCATCCCCACTAATAACCATGTCATCAACATATATCAAGAGAACCGTCGAAACCACGCGACGACCGTCTAAGAAATAAGGACGGATCACTATCACTCTGCGTCAAGCCAGCCTGCAAGATCGTGCTATGAAAATTTTCAAACCAGGCACGGGGAGCTTGTTTCAACCCATAAAGTGATCGACGCAGAAGACAAACCTTGGACTTGTCACCATTATTATAGCTAGGAGGACACTCCATATAGATAGTCTCTTTTAAGTCACCATGTAAGAAGGCATTTTTAACATCCAATTGCTTCAACTCCCATCCCTTCATGGCGGCTACAGCAAGAAGAGTACGAACAGTCTGCATTTTTGAAACGGGGGCAAAGGTTTCACCATAATCAATACCAAACTCCTGGCTA